CTGCGGACCACCTACTCGATTGGCGTGCATTGGGCCACCTTTATGATGAGCGACGAACACTACATGGATCCCAAGAAGGACTTTGAGGCGGCCCGGATCGAGCTGGGGCTGGCAGACGGCGCTTGCTTCACTAGCCATCTGGGTGAAACCATAGTCTTACATTAAAGAATATTTAGTATAGTAACGATTGGTATGAGCTCGACAAAGAGCAGAAGCAGCCAGCCGGCCGCTGGTATATTCGTGCTAGGTTCTACTCCGTGTCTTTCTGGTGGACGAGGGCGACGAGTCTAGTCCGTCTAGTTTCCGCGTCCCTGAGGGAGAGCGTCTTCTTCCCTGCGCTCTGGGAGGAGCAAGATTGCCGTCTGCCAGTGGCAGAGGCTCTGAATCCGACATGACCGACTCGACATTGGATTTCCTGGCCTCTTCAATCAAAACCTCGTATTCGTCCATTGGGAGCGCAAATTCACGAAACGCCAGCAATTTCACAGCGACCTGCTGCGAACCGTTGCGTTTTCGCTTCTTCAGACTCGTGGTGGTGGCAGGATCCAGGTCCTGGTCGTCCGCCCCAGCATCAAGACCAAAGACCCGGGCATCACTCAACACGGCATCAAACTCTTCTCTGATCAATTCTTTGTCATGTAAGTTGTAGTGCTGCAGCAAGGCACTCAACACCTGGTCTTGACTCGTTGCTTCGCCCAAATGCTTATTTATGAACCTGAGTTAAACGCCACACTTTTACTTTGTCATTGCCAAGACTTGAAAGTTCTTGTTGAGTGCGGTTGGTCGGTAAAGAAGAACCGCTCGAAAGAAGACCGTTTCTCCTTCTGGACTATTCATTTGCCGTCAAGACGCGGCTGCAATCCAATCACGTAAATGGCTGCCACCGCTGTCCGTGTCTTGAGATCTCACCGCAGATGTTGCCCCAAATCATGTCAACCGCTGTCTCCGTTCGGCATCGGTTGCTGAAAACATTCGTGGGACTGGCCCAGCTAGCCCAGAAAGAAGCCACCTGGGAGGACCTGTGCGACAACTGCCAAACCCAGAGCAGGGCCTTTTACGACGCTCTGGGCTACTCTGCCGAGAACCCGTGCAGCCCCGAGGACGAGGACAGAGAAGAAGGCGAACTGGAAGAGGGCGAGCTGGAAGAGGGCGAACTAGAGACTGAAGAGGAGGAGGACGGCGAAATCGAGTCGGGCCAGGACGAACCTCGGCTTCTGTACCTCACCCCCAGCATGAGGGAAATGTTCCGGGCATCCGAGCAATGGCGGCTGGAGCAGCGAAGAGAAAAAGAACTGGTCCAGGCACTGGCAGAGTCAGCAGAAACGCTCGAGGCTCCGGCAGCCAACCCGGTGTCGTCGCTAGGCAACCAAACCGAGCTCGACGCAGCGGTCGCCTGCTTGGACCAGGACTTTGATCGCTTTGTTGAGGAATACAATCCGGTCTTTTGGCCGGTGCTGTCCATGACCTTTTGATGGTGATGGCTTCTTGATACCTTGTGCCTTGATGAACCCCCGTCATCCTTACACTGATCTGGACCGAGCAAAAGGAGAGGCGCAGCGGAACTCGATCGACAGTACCTCGTCTCTCCTCTGCTCGGCTCCATTGAAGAGAGAATGGGTTTGGATTCTGAGCACTATTTGTTATTGTGGGTTGAAAAGTTGAAAATTGTCTTCACCAAATCTAATATTGTTTGCACTGAACAGCGCCAAAGATGAATTCACCAGAGTCTAGCTTAACTAGGTCGGAATCAGATGTCAGATGAACGGTAAACCAATCATCAAGATACTTGAATACAGTCAACCAAACATATATGTGGTTGGTTGACAATCAAAAATTTGTTGGATTAACAATCACAGATTTATTTGTTAACGTTTGAATCCTGGTTATCGACTCTTGAAGGAAACTGACTTGACGCTCCCATCTTCCATACCAAAATAAACCCCATCAGCCATATTGCAAAACAGCCCCGTTTCGACCACGCCGGGAATCAGGGTGATTTCCGTGTCCAGATGCTTGGGCTGGGACATTTTGGCGGCATCAAACACTGTGTCGAGAAGAAACATGCCTCGGATTAGGATGCAGCCCCACCGTTATCTGTCACCACCGGTCCGGCCTTGTTGACGGCCATGCGGAGGGTAGGCTTTCCGCCCAGCTTTTCCAGTTTGGCCATGACGGCCTTGTAAGCCATGGGAATCACTTCGATGGGGACTCCCTTGGACCACTAATGCTCAGCCGGCGATCGCCCACCTGGCTCCCAAGGAGAGCAGAGTCCTTTCGGTAGTCGGCCACGACAAACCACTTTTTGGAGTTGGCAATCACCAGTTTCTGGCCGTCAGTTTGGCCGCCGTACCTCCTGCAGCTGGCAGCCACCACCGCCCTGAGATGAATGCAGGTCCGAGTACCTTGATGCAGTTTCCGTTCGGATCCACCTCGTCGGCCCCATCAAACGCAATGTCTACGATAAGCCGGCGGCTTGATTACCGAGCACGGGATACTCGTTCAGACTGCCGAGGGGAAGCCCGTTTTCCAAGATGAGCTGCTGGGCCTGGAACGACGATGGGATGCAGGCCCGCACTTGGACATGGCTGAGTAAGCACACCAGAGGCCACCTACCCCTTTTTGACCAAGGCACCCAGCTGCTGCACGGCATACACCACGGTGCTGCCACTGCCTGGCATGAGTCTCTGCCACAAACCAATCCCAACGACCAGAGCATCGGCTGTGTCTAGCTTGGCAATTTCCTTTTCGACGGCCTGAAACGAAGCCAGTTTTTTTGCAGTCTCGGCAAGAGAAGTCATGTTTTTGAACAAAAGCACAAAAGAGGGCCGCAGATGGCGGGAATGGAGCCAAAGTGGCCTCGACCACAGCATTGAAGGCCACGAAGAAAGCACCGGTTTGTGCGAAACCAACGTTGCCAAACAATTCACGCGTCATGCCGATAGTCATCAAAGACTACACTGTTTCCGATCACCAGGACAAGGTCTACCTCTCGGTGCCCCTCTTTAACGTTCATCCCTCCAAAGTCGACATCTACTCGTCCGACGTTTACGTCAGGGCAAACTATCCGCCCTACTTTTTCGAGCTGGATTTGGCCCACCCCGTCGACTCTCTGGGGTCGTCCTGCTCGGTTGGGAATAACGAAATCCTCTTTGAGCTGAAAAAGCTGCAGCCGGCGGAGTGGGCCGAGGCTGCGTACCAACAGGCCGATCGACTTGAACGGCGCAGGCTGGGGGACCAGGAGGCACTCAAGGCCCAAGAAGCTCTCAAGGAAAAACGGCTGCTGGAGAAGAGAGAGAAGGAGCGGGAGCTGGTGCGGCAGCAAATCGAAGTGGAACGGCAGGCTCGCGAATCGGTGGCCCAGCTAAAAGAGCAAGAAATCCAGACAGCCAAGGACCACATTGCGGCGTGGAGCAAGGACCTGGGTGCGGCAAAGACCGCGGATACTCCGCGCCAAGATTCGGGGATATTTGTCGAAAAGGATGTCTGGGATGGCCCAAAGCTGGAGGAGATTGCCGAGGCGCCAACGCAGCCGTCGCCGGCAATTACTTTTGACGACGAATCGTCCGACGACGACGTTGATCTGGATGCCATTCGTGCCGCGGTGAAGCAGCAGCTCAAGCTGCCGGAACATGCGCCTCCCCGTCGGAGCAACACGGCAACGGTCAAGGTTACATTTACCGGCCGCGGATCCATCCCCACCCAAACCGCGCGAGAAACGGAAGACGGTACGGCATCGGCACTCATCCTAGCAAAATGGATGACCAGGATCAAAATCGCCAAGGCCATGAATGCCCTCAAGGGCGGCCAGGTCGCCAAGGAGATTGAGGAAACCGGACAGAGCGGTACGGCTCCGCACCTAACTCTAGCGCGGGAAGCTCGTGAAAAGGGCACCTCGTTCTTCAAACTGGGCAACTTTGAGAGCGCCATCAATGCATTTACCCAGGCGCTGGCGATTGATACGCAGGACGTCGTGTAAGGCTACGATGGCTAACCCAAGTTCAATGTCCAACCGTGCTGCCTGCTTCCTAAAGCTGGGACAAGGGGCCGAGTGTGTGTCCGACTGCACGCTGGGCCTGACTACCATCCAGCGAGAAGAAGACATCATCAAGGACGAAGTCAAGCGGGACGACGGCCAATCGGCCACCCGACTGAAGCAAAAACAAAAGCTGCTGGCACGCCGCGGCGCTGCCCTGGTGAATCTGATCGGGGACATTGAAGCTGGCGCACGGGATTACGAGGCCGCTCTGGCCCTGGATCCAGACAACGAGGGGCTGCGTCTGGATCTGGACCGGGTCAAGACTTTGTTGCAGCCAGCCGAACCGCTGTCGACCACTGTTTCTGTTTAATATAATCCTGGAAATTGTACAGCCCCACCTCTACACGACTCTTCTAAATAGGAGCATTTGGGGGTTTCAGTTTGGCACAAATAAAAATCTGAAAGGACTCGGGATCTGACAAATATTTGTTGGAAATCAAGGAATGCAACCTTGAGACGTTAAATACAGAGGGAAATCGATCCCGTATTGTCTGAACTACCAACAGGGATCAATCTTGGCTTTCACGGGAATTGCAGTGCATGGGAGACTGGAGGTAGATCCCATAGACTAGGGATATATCTGATAGTTTCATTTGTTGAGTTTCGACATGCAGATGTATGTTCAGTTGGAGTGGCATCTAATCCTAAGTACTTTTATTTGTGCCAAACTGAAACCCCCAATTATTTAGACTTTTCACGATCGACATCGTTGTTGGCACAAGATGGTGGGAATCTACCGAAAATAATCCAAACTAGTGCATGCCGATTTCAGAGTTCTGAGCTTGAATCGGTTCAAGAGGTGGGACTCATCTGGGCAAACTCATGTGCTCGCAATATTCCTATGTTGCCTAGAACGTGCTACGTTACCGTCATTCAAATAAACAGCTCTTGCCAGACTGCGGCGTCTCGGAGCGAGCAGAGCAGGCCGAGCAGACCGAGCAGAGCCGGGAAGAAAAAGAAAAAATGCTGTTAGGCGGAATCGAACTGCCGTTTCCAGGGTCACAACCTGGTGCTCTGCCGACTAAACTATAACAGCCGTGCCCCGAAGGTGGATCGAACACCTGGCCTTTAGATCTTCAGTCTAACGCTCTCCCAGCTGAGCTATCAGGGCACACGCAGACTCTTTTCTGCCATTCGCCTCATCCAGCATCTGCCATTTCCTCCTTCCGTGCATTTGCGCTCTCGCCGCGGAACGTGCGTATGGTGGCCACGCAGAGGAGTTGCCGGTTCCTGCAGCACCCGTGTCATGGTACGGCAGGCGACAGATAGATAAATCCCGACTTGGTTAGCGAACACAGACATGGCACAGACTCATAAGATTGTCGGCCTCGGACCATTGACACTCAGCCAAACCTTTTATGACTCGGTATCTTTACCACCACGAAATAGGCATTCAGCAGCTGATTGTGCTCGGCTTGCCAGCGTTGTTTCTGTTCTTTTTTGCATTTCAGCTTCTTCTTTCTCTCCTCGAACTGCACCACATCAACTTTGGTAACCGGACTTGCGGTCTGATCTGTAGGGCCGGTGGTGGCCAATCCGGTCTACACCTTTTGCGAGCCGATCCAGTACCAGCAGCTGGTCCACCAGCCTACCAATGCCTGGTCCTCGCTGACATTTAACATGATGGGCATGTTTCTTCTGACGGCCCACCCTGGCTGCAAGATGCATCTCCGCAACGTCCGCAAATCAAAGCTTCGCTACCTCGTTGTCTTTTGCCTGGGGTTTCTGGGACTTGCCTCCTGGTACTTTCATGCTGCGTTGAATGCCAGCTCCTACTACCTGGACTTTGCATCGACCCTGCTGCCGATCAATCTGGCGAATGCATTCACCATCTCGCGATGGACCAACACCGGGTTCTTTTACTGGATACTGTCTGGCCTGTTTGTGGTCATCATGACTCTCCGAATCACCCTCAACGTCCTGTATTCGTTTGACATCACGCTCATGACCGTTCCCACCTTTATCGTGGGCTTTTACTTTTCGGAATACTGCCGACAGTACGTGTACCGAAAACAGACATATCCCGGCAAGGTTCCGTCGACCAACTCGCTGGCCATCGAAAACGTGTACTGGCTGAACAGCAGCTTTACCTTTATCGCCTTTGCCTTCATCTGCTGGTCCATGGACAACTTTGGACACGTCTGTCTGCCGTTTCCGGGTGGGTTCCAGCTGCATGCCATCTGGCACGCCAACCTTTCCTTGGCGGTCACGTCGGCATACCTCTACATGTGCAACACCAACTTTGTCTTGTCCAAGCGGTTCAAGGTTCCCATCAACGAGGTCGTGGACGACATACTGACGGCCAGAAGACCCACTCTGAACAAATCGATTCGAATGGTGGACATTGTCTAGCGGCCAGATCGCAAGCTTTTCCAAGCGTGTGACCTCGGTCCAATCTCCTTCAAGTTTAACTAAATAAAATGGTGCGATTGGCTTTTTTGTTGATGGCAATGGGCCAGGCTGCCGATACTCCGCCGTGTCGAGGAGGTACCTCCATCGGGGCCTTTGTCGTTATATCCCCCAACCGCTCGACGGTTGCGGTCGTCGGTGCCCCGCTAGACATTTCGTGGTCGTACACCTCGCTCGTCAAATCTGTCCCAACCTCCATCGACATCTTTCTGGCTTATTTAAACCCGGCTGTCAGCGGACTGTCGTTTACGATCCCCGTGCTGTCCAACATCTCTTCGGCCTCCAACAGCACCGTCTGGACCGTAAGTGCCTTGAACGATGGCCAGTACGAAATGCGGATTGGGATTTCGCATCGCGATCCATTGCTGAACAGCAGTGCGTGTCTCCAAAACGGAGAAGCCTACGGTGCCTCGTCGACGGCATTCAAATTGACAAATGCGGTGGCCTTCCCCAAGCCTGGGATCGACCAGTTTGGGCCGCTGACCACGTCCACGAGCTCTGCTGTCTCTGTCCAAGGCGTGCCGTGGTGGCTATGGATCCTGGTGTGGAGCGTGGCTCGGATTTAATGCTTTTATTGCAATGAAACAAAATCAAATGCACATCACTCCTCAAAGAGCTTGGCAGAAGTAGTCGCTTCAGCGATCGGTTCGTCAAAGGTGAGATTGAGCTTTTCGCTAGCGGGCGACGCAAGCTGCTTCACGTCGTGCTCCGCCTTGCTTGCAGTGGCCCCCAATCCATTTGCAAAGTCGTCCGCTTCGTGAGCCTGGGCTGTGTCCACTCGCATTTCCTGGATCATGGCAGCGACAGAAGCAACTACAGTTTCAACAACGGTTTCGGCCACAGCGTCGGTAGCAGAGGCATTTTCAGAGTCCTCTTCCACTCGGATCTCGGCCACGATCTCCTGGACAACGACAGAACCGTCTTTGAGGGGCTCCGAGACAGTAATGTCACGAACCACTTCGTGGAAAATTTCCGATGTCTCGGGCTTGGGCTGTGGAGCAGGTTCCGCAGTCTGGGGCTGGACAGATTCCTGCATCAGCTCCACAAACTGCGGCTCGGTTACAGTAGGCTCGGACAGGGCCGGCTTGACCACGTCAACGATTTCAAGGTCTTCTATCGATCGAGTGTCAATGTCCCTGTCCAGAGCGGGTGCAGTGGTTTGCTCGGTCGCGGACCTGTCCAGCAGAGTTGCCGGCTCGACAAAGGCAAGGGCCGCGGCAGCAGCTTCAGCAGGAACGACTGGCGTGGATACAAAGACAAGTTCATCACGAATCACGGTTGCTTGGTCCTCAGCCGGCTCCGAGACAGCCGCTGCCTCCAGCTGGTCCTCCAACTGACTAGTGCTGCTATCAGATTCGCTAGTGGAAAAATCAGCGGGTTCTTTTGGCTCGACCAGGGTTTCGGGTGCAGCAGCGGATTCCGAGACGGATTCATCTCGGACCGGAGAATCGTCAGGATTCTTTTCGCCTTTGATGTAGTGAATAAAGCGACCAGGAAGTGTCGAGACACTTGTTGCAAGGTTGGAAAAAACGTTAAACATGTTCTTTTTTAGATAGTTGAAGGAAGCAGACTTTCATCAAGCAACTGCCGTGACGGATCGGGCTCTGAACGCAGTAAGAAATGAGGCATAAGACCAGGTCAAATCTCGGGCACCTAGCAACACACCAGAGATCCTGTGGAGCTGCTCGCTGTACCGGCCATCGGGCGTGTACTCCTTTACTTTTTCCAGGTACGCATCACCAGCCAGGGTCAGGTTTCCGACAAGAAAGGCCCTGTCTGCACTAGAAAGGGGGTCGGTGGGGACTTGGCTGGGATCTAGCACACCCGGTGCAAAGCGATGGTAAAACAGCCGGGACGCCGGAGAAAGAGTGGTCGTGGCAGCGCGAGAGTGGGTGTTGGCCAAAGTGTACAAGAGATGGGCCAGGGCGTGCGTGGTAAGGATCCATGGGTTTCCCAGACTTATTCCGGTGCCGTCGTAGACATCTTCGGGATACCTAGCGTAACCAGCCGAGGCCTACCGTCCCAGCAGTGGGTTGTTGGATAGCCAGTTGATGGGGAACTCCAGCTGGAAGGCCGACACCAGCTTGACCACCGTCAGCAAAACCGCATCCGAGCCGCAGCCAAAGGCGGGATGGGGAAAGTCTTGCGTGTGGAGACAGGCAAGCAGAACGGCGGCGTCCAAACCACTGGCTTTGCCGTGGTCGTCGCTGGGATCGACTGTGGCCCAAATAAACTGTCGCGAAGCATCCCAAAACATGGCCATTTCTTGCTCCAGCAGCTGGGCCACAGAGAGATAATAGTCGGCGGCTGCTGGATCTTGGAAGCATGTTGCAATTGCAGCCCCGACCTTGAGCGCGGCATACTGGACCATTCTGGTGTAGAAATGGTGTCCCTCGACCTCCTGGACGGCGTCAGCCAGTGCACATCGTACCTCCCACAAGTCATAGTTCTTGTCCTGCCATCGCTGGCAAATGTACTCGAGATCCCGCTTGATCAGACTCATCGCTGGAAGCTCTGCCTTGTACCTACACTTACGCTCCGCCGCAGTACCAGTCCTTTGCCACATCCTCCATGCCAAACTTTAGCAGATACTTGTACAGGGCCAGCACACGCAGCGCCGGGCCGTCGTTCTGGGGACGGCCTACCGATCAGACCGTCCGACGCACCTACCCCATGGCCCAGTGTATGGAGATGCATCCACGTTAAACTTGGGCTCTCCCAGATCCGCGCTGGCCTGGTGGAGCAGCGAGATGTTGGCATAGTTGAGCACCAGCCGATGGATCGAGCTGGGATCGCCGACCGTTCTCCAGGACGACAAGGCATCGGTCGCCGGATCTGACTGTGCGATCAGCGCCGACATGACCAGGGCAGCATCTCTGTGGTAAGCCTCGATCCTCGCACCGAGTCCAGTGAAAGTAGTAGTTTGGATCCTGCCTTGAAGGGGACGCAACCACCGTCCCTCGCACAGAGTCTTGCGGTGAAATGTTTTCCAGCATCCGAGACAGCGAGTGTTTGGCCTGGCCGTCCCCCCAGACCAGAACGGGCCCGGCCGGAAGCCCAGGTCCAAGGTCGCTGTAAACAGCGGGGGTTGGCATCATTTTCACATACAAAAACGTGGCTAGAACGGACACGACGCACACAAAAGCCTGCGTCGCGGGTTGCATCGATGGGAACATGTTGAAGGGGTTCAGTCAAACTAGCTCTGACCCCAAATAACATGCCGATGAACCACAAAGAATCAACAGCTGCTGCATCTGTTTCCGTTTACTTATGTAGATTGCAGATCTCATCCCAACCAGAGACCAAGGCAATCTAGCCGTCAATAGTCCGAGCCAAGTGCATCCCATCTGGGCTGATTCCCGTGCCCACAATGGACACAATCACAAATTTATTTACCCCATTTTTTTTGTTTGTGGCGTGACTTGCCACAAATATTTTCTTGTTTTCATGTCACGCAAGACACCAACAGCAATTTACGAAAGCATTATTGAATGGCTGCAAATCCGCGATAATTTTCTTTTGATTAACGGAGTTTCGGGCTTGAATCCGCCAGTTGTTTCAGGAAAGAAACTCAAGCGAAAAGACGCTCATTCTTCTCTGGCGCTGTTTGTGAACCAAAAACACAACACTCAATTTACTGACATTGTAATGAAGCGGAAATACGACTGGCTCATGCAAATGTACAAGAAGGCAATGCTGGCT